AGAGTTATAGTTAAAGTAGAGTTTTTGTATGCACATGAGTTGTTTGATGAAATGTTTAAAAGGGACATGAGTAAGAGTAGAGAACCTTAATTATTGCTACATGGCATAATTGCGTTTCATAAGTGCATTAATGAGCATGAGCCATCCATATGCATTAATTGTGCACTTGAGAAGTAGCTTGAGAAAGAGTAGAGAATTTTGAGTATAAGCTACATTAAGAGTAAAGAGAAGAGAGAATAATCACTAGAGAATAAAGACAAAGTAGTGCTAAAGAAAAGAATAGAATGGGTTATGCGATGGGGAGCCCGTGAGTGATGAGTAGAATGGTTACGAGAGTGGGTGCTTTGTGATCCCCAGTCGTGCCTCCGGTAAGATGGGGCCATGACATTCAAGAGAGAGAGAGAGAATATACACTCACATGGTCAAGGGTTCCAAATCCATGCATAACCGAGTCCGATCGACAGAGAATGAGTAGAAGTCACGAAGAGTGGGTTGGTGCTTTGTGAACTCCACCTGGTCGTGCCTCCGGTAAGATGAGGCCGTGACATTCAAGTGAGAAAGAATAAGCAAACATGAGAAAGAATAAAGAGAGAGAATGAGTAGGGTCACGAAGAGTGGATGAGTATCCAGCCGTGCCTCCGGTAAGATAAGGCTGTGACCTACAACAGAAAGTTAATAGAAAGGAGTTATGAGAAACAGAAACATAAACATAAAATAAATGACATGAGAAGAGTGTAAGGAAAGAATTAAGAGAAAGAGTTACGGTGACAGACAAGTAGAGGATTTACTTACTGAGCATTATTTTGTGCTCATCCCGTTGTTTTCTTTGTGATTGCAGGATCTAGGTGTTGGCAAGCGAGGAGTAATAGCTACACTGTCCACTGTTTTGATGACTTTCTATAAATGATGCTCTATCTTGTATAAAGAATGTTTATATGTAATAAAATAAAAATTTTGGGCCCATCTACTTTTACTACAATATATGTATTTTAATATATGTATTTCTATGAGTATTCTAGTATAAAGGAGTTATTACGATTATAAATCAATAAGGCATGATAATCGGCGTAATTCTAAATTTCCGGTTTGAAAGAATTAATACTTACAGTTATAATGAACCATACCATTTAAAAGCATTGAACAATCTAATCATGAGCATATTTTGTCCACAAACTCATTTAAACACATATACAAAAACAAATATTATCATTAAACTTCAATAAAAGCATGTATAGTTACATGGTTTATTAATTTACTACTATAAAAGCATTTCTCTATAGAAAATAGAATACACAATACGCCTCCTAAGTGTGTGTCCATCATGTCTCTCAATACAGGAAAGCAACACATTGTAGGTACTTTATAATAACAAACTTTAACGTAAATGCGCTACAATCATTAAACTATGTATCTTGTTATAGTATGACATCTTGTAATAACCTCTTCACCTCAAATTTTGCCATTTTTGAACCACAATTCATGTATTTTCCAAAGTAACCTATCTTCTTCAACAAGCGAGGGTCGATAATTAGCAACAATTGGTAACATATGGTTTGTAGTGCTCCACATATTCCGATGTTATGAAAATATTCTTAATAATTGTCATTTACCCCCTACAAAGTTGCAAATTATTTTTTAATCACAGGAAAATAATATATAATAACATATATGTTGGAAATAAACCAAAAAAAAAAAAAAAAAACTTAGTTTCACACAAGCAATAATGTTATGTAAAAGTGCCCAAAACCACTCCAAACCACCCAATACTCCAATCAAGTCATTACTTACATGCCCTAAACTACCAAATCATCCCTATTTGTTAATATATAAAGCTCCTGAATATGTCTTAAACCACTCAATACCCCTATCAGGTTATTTTCACAAATGCACTACGGTGCCACATAGGATCATATCGGAAGGTATTGAGCTAAATTTAGAATAGTAAGTGTTTGATGCCTTCCGATATCACCACATGGGGGCTTTTATCACCATTTCAAATATTGACCCCATTAACCCGATTGTGTCTGATAAGGGCTATCGAGCAAATTTGCAATCTACTTTATGATTTTTTGTGACTTCCTATCATTTCCATTTATCAGTTTCTTCCAACAAAACAACAAAATCACCTCTTCACAAACACCCAATCACAATAATCAAGTAATAAACCATCAAACAAATGTTCAGCAATAAAAAATTGCACAAATCTAATCTAACATAATCTTAACCTAAACTCTAGCAACAATTTATCATAAAGATTAGAAATTGACCAAACATAATTTTTTTTAATTATTTACTTTCCATTTAAGATTTCAAAACGCAGTGTTTTATCACTCAACTGCTGAAAAACTTTGTTATATAAAATTTGTATGATGAAACTCCTTAAAAATGATAATAATCTCTTATAAATCATCATAAAATAATAAAAGAATCCCTTAAAATATCAGAAAACTCTCTAAAAATATAAGTAATATTAGGTCCACAACTCAATCTTACAACTTTCTCTTACAAACTGGGACATGGTATATCATAATTGGTTAGCTCGCATTGAATAAGCGAGACCCATGTATGAGCTGACCAATTGTGAACTATCACGTCAAGGGTTGGGAGAGAAGATTGTGAGATTAAGTTATAGACCTAACATTATTGCTAAAAATAAATTAAAAAAAAAACCTCTTACATAGTGAGATTTTTATGCTTTTTTGTTTTTTTTCTTTTTTTTTTTTTTTTTTGGGGGGGGGGGGGGGGGTCGGGGGAGGGGTGTGTGGGGTTAAGTAAAAATTGATCCAGTTAACTCCTTAGATTTGGCCATCTCCGGAGCAAATGAAATTAAGCCCCGAATTAATACAAAACGTTTTGCCATTTTAGTTTCATGGCTCACGGGCCGTTCGATTAGACCCGATCAACACCACCACACTTCAGAAGACCGCTGTCGGGTTACCCGGCCCATTTAACACCCGTACATCCAACGGTCCCAAACTCCCAATCATGCTTGAAGCCTCAACCCTAAACGTTTTTCCTCAAGCATTCTTCTCTCTCGCGCAAAAACCCCTTTACCAAATACACACACTCCTTCACCAATTGCTCTCTCCAAGCTCTGATTTCTTCAAAACCAAACCCTCAAAATTTTTTAAATCTTGAACAAATGCCAGGACCAGCGTGAGAATTGTGGTGGTTGGCGACCGAGGCACCGGAAAATCTAGCCTTATATTGGTTGTGGCCTTCGGATCGGTCTGGGGAAAGGTCTTTCCAGTTCATTCTCCCACGCGCCTCCCTCTCCATTTCTACCGCGATCGCGCACTGTCACCATCATCGACACCTCTTCCAGGTACACTGTCCGTACACATTGTACATTCGTATGTGCATAACTCCTGTTTCATATTTGATTTGATTTGTTTTTAGTTGGATTTTTTTTTAAGCTCTTACGTTTAAAGTAGTTAGTTTTAAGGTAGTGTGCGCAATATAAAATAGGCTGATTTTTGTATATTATAAATGTTCAATTTTAGCTTTGAGAATTAGGGTAAACTTAATGGAGTATGCTGATTCTTGTGCATTATAAACGTTCAATTTTAGCTTGGAGAATGAGGGTAGACTGATGAAGAATTGAATAAAGCTGATGCAATAAGACGTTGCAGATTTATGTTATCATCATTCTGAAATCTGGATATTATACATGTTCATCTGTAATAAGACGTTGCAGATTTAGTGGCATTTTTCTATGTTTTCAGCATTCTGATCTCTTGTAAATTGTGTTATACATGTTCTCATTGTCTTGGGACGTCACAAATTTGATGATCATGGTGCAGGGGACTAAGAAGACACTTATTTTTCAAGAAATACCCAAAGATGGAGTGAAAGAATTTCTCTCATATAAGGAATATAGTGGCAACCTGTGATGTTGCTTTATTCGTCTATGATAGGTACTTAAAAACTCTTATGCATATATTTGCAACGTGAACTCTTCTTGTTGGATAAGTGCTTGTGATTGTTTGTCTATGTATTTCTTTACTACTGTCATTTTATTGGATTTATTGCCTCTTCTCTCCCTTCTGTCATGCATTTGCCTGTGCACCATGGTCAGAATTAAAATTGGGGTGATGCTTTTAATTTATCTTCGTTGTCTTTTTGTGATTTAACAAGAGTATGTATGCACAGTAATTTAATTTCGTTCCCTCTATGTTGTTTGTGAGTTGTTTGGTCATGATATTTTAATTTATTTGAATATGTAGATATCATGAACTGCATTGTTTCTAATTTCCAGTTCAGTTGAACATTCATGGAAAAGGACAAAGGAACTGCTGGTGGAGGTTGCTAGGCAAGGGGAAGTCAGCGGTCATGGGGTGCCATGCCTTCTTATTGCAGTCAAGGATGACTTGGATCCATGTCAAATCACTGTACAAGATTCAGCAATGGTACAGAACTATCTTTGGCTACTTAGACTACGTACAAGTATAAACATCTTTGGATGATTGTTCCTATAGAAATTGCTAGTCATTGATTATGGAGAACAAATAATTTCCTTTCCTTTTCCAATTTTTAGGTTAGTCAGGAGATGGGAATCGAGCCTCCTATTCGTGTAAGCATGAAAGTAGGAGATTCCAAAAATTTATTCAGCAGAATTGTGAGGGCAGCAGAATATAAAGATTCTCGTCAGCCCTTTCAACACAGCTAGAATACATAAACCCAGTTTCTGCCTGAAGATAGTGCAAAGAACACATATTTAGGCAGGTTCAAAAACCAATAGCAATGTTTACTTATTTGATCTTTCAATTGAAAAACATAGATGATAAAATGTCATTTTACTCCAACATGAATCAAAATGTGAAATAATACATCTTCTAAGAAACTACAACCAATCTAAACCACCTCAGCACACAAACATGGTCCTAATTATTCAATTGACCTGATGGAATTCGATATGTAAAATAAGGTTTCGGATATCTAACTTACATCATTTGGAAGCAAATGCATTCCTAGTTTTTCTTTGTAAATGAAATCTAATTCCTCAACAATTTCAGCTTCCGTAGCCATTTACCAGCCACATGCACGCAACCTTCAACTAGGTTTCACAAAAACAAAAGTTTACAAAAATGGCCACAGAATTCTATTCATATAACTACTCTACTATAACCACCAGACCACCATTGACCATTAAGCTTGAATATTAACTACTAAAAGCTTAGTTTAAAATAAGTCCTGCTCATTTCTATCTTCTTCTTCTCTTCGAATTTAGAGTTCCTAATTACCACATTAATTACGAATCTACCCATACAACTAATTAAACTCATATTTTTCGGTTATAATTATAATTTTTTGGATTTTTTTTTTTTTTAAATGGAAAGCCAAGAAGCGGATTAGGATCGACACAGAGCCCCATATCTTTTTCGTTCATGCTTATATCTCCTATCGATCACCGATCCTGTGAAATTAGGCAATGTGCGTTCAAACTTATGTCTCCTATCGAATCATCACCAAGGTGCTTTTGATTTTTCAGCTATTTAATGTTTAACTTACTGTATATATTTATTTAATTGGATGATTATGTTATAAGAAATTTGATAGAAAGATTATAAAGTAGTGTAATTAAGATTTGAATGCTCATACTTAGTGATCAGGGTACTGTCTATATCTAAAATGCGCTGGGAGTCTTTTGTGGATATATAAATTTTTTAAAGCCCTGATCCCTGGGACCATCAATGTTATAAACTTTTTTCGTGCCGCCATCTACACTGTGCACTCCCTTCGTTTTCCGGCCGGCATCTAAACTGTGCAGTCCCTTCGTTTTCCTGGGAGTCTTTTGTGGATATATAATTTTTTTAAAGCCCTAATCCCTGGGACCATCAATGTTATAAACTTTTTTCCTGCCGCCATCTACCCTGTGCACTCCCTTCGTTTTCCGGCCGCCATCTAAACTGTGCAGTCCCTTCGTTCTCCTGCCGCCATCTAAACTGTGCAGTCCCTTCGTTCTCCTGCCGCCATCTACACTGTGCACTCCCTTCGTTTTCTGGCCGCCATCTAAACTGTGCACTTTCTTCCTTCCGTTTCTCCTTTGCTTGTGATATTTCTCTCTCATGGAAAATTTGGAGGTGTTAGCTGCGTACGACGTGGATGACATCCTCAAAAGGTTGCACGAGCAGATAATGGGAGACGAGAACAGATTGTTCCAAACAAGGGCCGAGAACAAAGCCAAAAAAAATTCCATATTTGGAACTTTAAACCGTTTCGATGGAAAGTCGTTTGATTCGGTTCAATCACATAAAATTTTTGAGGTAATTTATTTTACTACGTTTCTTATATTACTTCATAGATTGTTTTGATGTTTTTACTTTTTGCAGTTAGGGAGTCTTGTTTGCGTGTTCACCAAACATGGGTCCGGCGAGGTCAAAGACAAAGCCGTCAACATTCTTAAAAGACTCAAAAATCATTGTGTGACTCTTATGAATGCTGACTCCCAGGTAATCGAAAATTTGTTCAACGAGACTGTTATGAATGCTGACTCCCAGGGAATCGAAAATTTGTTCAACGAGACTGTTATGAATGTTGACTCCCAGGGAATCGAAAATTTGATGCCCCTGCTGAACCCCGGTTGGCAAGCCTTCAGGTCCTGGAACCCGGATCCGAGCACACTGATCTCAGATCCGTACCTAACTCCAAACACGTTCNATGGTGTGTATGATAGACGAGAAAGAACTACCATCCAAGTAAAGTTGAATTTAAGAAAAAGTAGTATCTTTTGGGTAAAAAAGAAAATAAAATTAAAAAATCAATCATATTCATTAGATGGTTGAACTGACATGTTTTTGGATCTTTCAAACAAATTAGCAGAGAATCCAAATCAAGATTAAGAACTAGATAGTTTGGTGGTTTGCTTAGGACTATTGGGTGTGTTACTCAATAGATTTTGAGCTTGAATTTTATGACTATTAATAAGGGGTAGTTACTGAATACTTATTTGACCGTTTTAAGGAGAATAGTCAAGGTAAGCAAAAGTTAACTCGAACACCGTTAGATACCAAAATATATATATATATATAAATATCCAGAGAGAGGATCCCCGTTAAGTGTAGCAAATCTCATCAGCATAATAAAACAAATGGTTATTGATAATATAATGAAAACTTGGCTTGGCAATTGATACAAAGGAAAAGAAGACTGGAGGCTTCAAAATGGCACAGTTGAAAGAAGTATATAAGAAGGAAAGAATAAGTTCTCTGTCTCTAGTCAAAGAAGCTTGAAACAAGTACTTGAGAAAGTGAAGTTGACGCTGAACATTTCACTTTATTCTTTCTTTTTAATAAACAATTTCAAGTATATCTTCACTCACTCACTTTAGCAACACACAGTTTCGCCATTAATACAAACTTACAGAGAAGAAGAAACCTCATCAGAATAATCACCCACTTCAGTTCAAAACATGAAGATTTCTTCTTTGCTCTTCCCTCTCCTCCTCCTCCTCCCCCTCCTCCTCTCAGGTTCTTCTTTTACATTCCAAATACGACTGATGTACGAAGTTCTCTATTAATTTTTTTTCTTCTTTTTTATTTTTTGGGGTTGAACAGGTGATGGTTTTGGCCCATCTTTGGGTGTAAATTTTGTGCATGGAACAAGGATCCCAGAGCATACATGTCACAAGCTAATTGAAATGAAGAAATGTGAGATTGAGAAATGCAACCAGGCATGCTCAGAATTCCCAAATGCTGTTGGGGAGTGTAAGCAAACTAATTGTTTTTGCACTTACTTTTGTATAGATCCTCCTATGTGATTTGTGAACTCGTTTTGTGTTGTACAAGTATACAAGAGCATGAATGCGCCAAAATCTTGCATTATTTTCTTCATATATGGTAGGGTTCTAGGATACATTTTTTTGGTTTTTCGGCTTAAATTAACGTTTAGGGATCAAGGTTAAGTTTGGTTCATTAAAGTGTCATATACATCAAACCAAACCTAACTGAGCGTTAGGGGCGGAGTTACTTTTAGGCCTGGGGTGGCCGTGGCTAACCCAAGCCCACAAAATTTTTTAAAATTTATATAGAAAAAATATGTTTAACCCCTTTAAATGTAGTTTTTCTTATTCTGATTATCCCTAATTTTAGAAGATAACACTTTAGCCCCAATAAAATAGTAAATGTAACTTTCTAATTACTTTTGGGCTCCGTTATTCATTAAAGATAATATTTTGGCCCCCTCGGAAAATATTATTTGGCTCCGCCCCAATTGGGTGTTCGGTTAATACTATCAATTATGTAAATATGTTTGTTATGTTACAAACAATAATCAATGACTTATTAATAAAATTGTTTTGTTGTGGATTCGACTTTTTTTTTTTTCGTGGATTCAAAAATCCTCCTTCTGGATTCGGAAGTATCGTTCATGGTGGATAACAAGAATCATGGCTCAAAAAGATTTTATTAAGAATGTGTCAATAAAAGCAATCCATATAATTATTATGATAATTAATTAAGAACAANACTATGTAACTGTTTGTCCAATTTCAGAGTTAGGGCAATCTTTGTCAGATTTTGGTAAAGCAGCCAAGCTTCTTGGTGCTTGTGAAGGAGATTCTCTTGGAAAAACGTTTTCTGAGCTTGGGGTGAAATCTGAGACATTATCAATAAAGCTGCAGAAGGAGGTAGGCTTTAATTATAATTAAAAAATGAGAACTTCGGAGTAGGCTGTTTATCAAGTGTGTTTACCAGCATGCATGTCTGTGTTTGTGATGTTGATTTGCTGATGACTTAGAATTGGTTTCATTATTCATAATAGTTTTGAAATTATAATACTAAATTATAAATTTATGACTGTATTTCATTACTGTACAGGCCCATCAACTCTTGATGAATTTTGAAGAACCCTTGAAGGACTATGTTCGGGCAGTGCAATCCATTAAGGTGAGTTAGACTTTTAACTTTATTAATGCTCAGAGACTGCCCACCAGCTTTATAGAAATAAATTTACTACAAATTACACGGTTTCTTTTCAGATCAGGTTTAACTTTACCTGTCTGGTTCAGCTAAAAATTGACACTAAAATCATTGAAAGTGAATTCCAAGGGTTGGGCTTAGTTATAGAAGCCTTGGTTTCAATTAAGAGGTCAAAGATTTAAATCCTCTTAAGGCCACCTTTGTGGAATATTATATCCTACAAGTTTCCTAACCACCAAGATTATAGTGTCTAGATGTAGCCCCTAGTTTACAACTTGATTAACATGTACGGAAGGTCAAAGGACTTATGGGTATATAAAATAACATTTTAAGTGGGTTAAGAAATACTAATAATGATAAATCATCAATAGAAGTTTCTCCTCTCCCTTCTTTTTGCAATCTGGTCTATTCATTAATGAGAGAATTCTTTGCTTCTGTATTTCAAAGCAGGCAACGATAGCAGAAAGAGCTAATGCCTTCAGGCAACAGTGTGAACTGGCTGAAACCATCAAGTTGAAGGAGATAAACCTGTATGATTCTTGCCTGCTATTTTCTTAAAATGTTTTTATGCTTAAATCTACTTGCGAATTGCTTTGACTATTATTTTTTTTCGTATTTCGTAATATTTACTCTTAGTTACTCTCCTTAGTCAGGATAATCTTTGACCTACTACCTTGATTTTAGTGTGAGCTCTAACACCAGGATAGTGTGCTAATAACAAAGCGCTATTTAATTTTTACAGTCACATTTTCTTCTCATCCTTGAGGAAAATTTGAAGGCCTTTTTAGTGTCAAATAGGACATTAACATGTTGTCATCAAGTACATGTTACTTGAATGTTGGAACATTTCCTTGAATTTTGATGGCTGAGTAGGGTGCCTTTGTTTACATTTTACAAAATATGATTTCCAGTAACTATTTTGGAAAACATTTTCAGAAATATAGAACCTTTTTCTAACTTCTGTTGAAGAAATGGGAAAACAATTTTTAAGTTGTGTTCACTGTTTTCTGAATTATATCTCAAGACCAGAAAGTAGTTTTAAATTATTTGATGCTTTTATAACCTTTTTGGAAGCAGTTTGATTTGATTATTTTTATTATCATTAGGAATTTTGGTTGGGAATTTTAATGATTATATTAAGATCTTTACTTTTTTCAAAAATGAAAATCATTTGAGTGCTTTTTCATGGTTTTTGTTTTCAGAATACTAGTTTTAGAAAATTGGTACTAAATACTTGCTGGTATGTTAAAAATACGGCATCCTGTTTCCTGTTTAAAATTTTGGAATTCATTTGTAGAAACAATTTGCAAAATACTATCAAATAGGCAGTTTATTTTGTTAAGAGGCACATCTTACACTAACACAATGACAAATTTTAATGAAAGGGATGAAACCTGATGATTTCCCAAGTCAGGAAAGTAGGCGCTTCTTTATCTTTTATTTTCCTCCATTTTTTGTGTCATTGATCAGTAATCTGTCTGTATCCATTGGATTGCAGTGACAAGCTCATGCTGACACGGTCTGATAGGGTTGGGGAGGCCGAGATTGAGTACAAGGAAGTAAGTCAGTTTACAAAAAACATTATCCGGTGGATGCCTAAACAATCTATGCTGTATAACTAACATTGGTTTTGGATGCAGTTGAAGGCAGAGAGTGAGGAGGCAACGAGGAGATTTGAGGTGATTGTACGCTTAATGAATGAAGAGATAGTACGATTTCAGGAGCAGAAAACATTGGATATGGGAATCGCTTTTCATAAATTTGCAAAAGGACAGGCACGACTAGCCAATAGTATCGCTGATGCCTGGCGAAGTCTCCTTCCAAAACTTGAAGCTTGTTCCACATAATCAGTATTTACTAACCACCCACCGAGCAAAGTTCTTGTTTCAGTATTTGGTTCTTGGGAAATGGCAGGGGCAGCTCTTGCATTTTAAAAACTTGACTATGGGGAATTAAACTCCCTGCTATTTGACGCTGTATGTATTGATGTTAATTTTACACCTTCGCTTGTACAAATTTAACACTGGGTGAGTCAAAAAAGCATTCATCCTTTTAAGGTTGCAAAATTTCAAAATTTTCATGTGTATTACAAAATTTAGCTTCATTTTTATAGTTAGATAATGTGCATAAAGCTGAATAAACTCTTCTTATGTGATATTTTTTTTTTGTAATAACTTTTTTTTCCCCTTTATAGTTTAATTGTCGTCCACATTTGTAGATTATTTGATTGTTATCATAAATACCTTAAAGTTTTTGTCCCATGAATTTTCTCCGGAGATGTACTTTGATTGATATTAAATGCAATGCCACAAATTCCCATCAAAATAGCAGATTTTGGCTCTGAGATTAGGTTCTCAATCAAATTAATGACGGCCTTTCACTGAAATGACATGGCATGCCTAATTCACAGCTTCAATAAGCACTCTCCACTCAAAAAAAAAAAAAAAAAAAAAAAAAAACCTTTAGGATCCTACCTTATCCATCAATCACAAACTTTTACTTAGTTCTCACTCTTCGTGGCCAGAGTTCAGACTCCAAGGCACTCTCACACTCTCGTAAGGGCTAGAGTTTAGAGGCCGTTATCATCAACCATGGCCTGCACAATGAGCCTAGCCAAACCCACACGTGTGGGTTCACACGTGCATATATCTTCCCCTCTGCCCATTCACAGCTATCAAGTTTTCATCTTCAACAACAGAAATACCGGAAAAGGGTTCAGTAAACAGAGTGTATTGTTGGGCCGACAGAAGTTGAGTCCAGTGCCCAAGTCCTCTCAGCAAAACGACAGCGTTGTGCCACCAGAGGATGATGAAGATGGTGTCTCTCTTGGCACCATGAAATTGCCTTTAGACACCGATCTTCAACGATTCGATAGTTTACTCTTCCAGGTATTTAATAGAAAAATCTAAAATGCCCTTGCATCAACTAAGCTGGAATAGCTCAGTTGGTTAGAGCGTGTGGCTGTTAACCACAAGGTCGGAGGTTCAAGCCCTCCTTCTAGCGAGTTAATTGTTTTTATTTTTTCTGAATTCTGATACTCTTGTTGAACTTTTTTTTTTTAAATGTGGCTGACTAACACGTGAGAATTCTTGGTAAAAATTGAGCCAAACAAATATGAATTACTATTATATTATAAGTCATGGTCACGAGAAGAATCTAAAATGAAGAAAATTTCATGTGGGTTTGCTGTCTTATACTTAATGTTAGTGTATTACGTGTAGTGATTCTGCAAATTAATGTTATCTGTGAAAACTGCATTTTGATTATTAAATCAAATCATGAAAAGTGTGTTATGTGATTATGCATTCTGGGTTTGTTTGTCCTTTGTTTGTTTACGTGTTCATTTGGAAACTCTTACAATGTCTCATTTTTTATCAGCTTCAAGCATGGCAATAATAATAATAATAATAATATTAATGGAGACAAATGGATAAAGCCACTTTAATTATCTCTAAATCTGTAATTTACTAGCTACCACCCAATTGATTTGCTGGAAATTTTGAGCGCCCCCTGGAAAACTATAGAGTCAAAATACAAAAGAAATATGGAAGTATCTCAATTTGCTGATTCAATATTTTGTTTATTTATTTGATTTTGAGTTGATTTGTTCTGTTTTTGCTTGTCTTTTATAACAGTGGGCAAACAGTCTATGCCAAGGAGCTAATCTTCCTCTTCCTGTGCCACTCAAGGTGAGTCATTATTTGTTTTCTCTTGTTTCTTCAGTTTTAAGCTTGTAAATCAATATAATAATGTTCCCATTTTATCTAATCTAATGTGATAAACATTGTTATTGCAAAAGGGTTTTCATGTACATTGAAACTTCTTGTTAAAACTTCTTGGTTTTAATGTAAAGAGTTTGAGATTCTTTATAGAATCAGTTATAATTCCAGATTTTGCCGAATTAGTTACATGTGGACTTTCGATTTACTGCATAAGCAATGCAAGACCACAATTGTGTGGTTGGGCACGAAGGCCTTGTTCTTTAGTGGCTTTAAGAAAAAACAAAAAGAAATTGCTGTTGTGGATAGAAATCGGATCAAGAGCCGACATTGCATGAGAGCTAGACAAATTCTTGGATTTTTGATTTAGTGACCTTATAATTCTTAATTTATTTGCAGCTTCTAGGTTGTGATTCTTAAATAATCTATATGCACTAGAGCTATCATTGCATTTTCCACCAATTATGTTTCTTTGGCCGGCCAACAAATTTTGACTACATTATCCTCAACTTGCATTGTATAGTATGTCCTTGTTTAGTATATGGACAAAATTTAACATTTAGGCCATCTTCCTGAAAACAAGAAAAAGTTACAGCTATTGATCATACATATTATATCTCTTAACCTTGCCCAAATCCCTGGTGAAAATGTCACCTGGCTGCATAACTTGAACAGCCATACACTTTCTAGCATTATCATGCAACTAGAATCCTATCCCGAGCTTTTATTTGAGCAAATGCAATAATATGATTGATAGGTAAAGAAAATATAAAATAATACAGTATTGTGAAAAACTCATGAGCGTTCAAATCAGGGGAGGATCTTGATTCTATCACTCTAGTTTTTTGACAGCATATCAATTTTATACATGTATTGCTTGCAATCTGAAGGATTTATATGGGATATATTTTGTTTCTTGCCGAACTTAAATACTCTAGAATTGACTTAGAGAAAAAATTGCTTCTTCTGATGGGCTTACTGATGTTTACATTTCCAAAAATTTAACAGGTAGATAAAATACCTGGTGGAGCACGATTGGGATTTATTACAATTGGAGATGGAGAGACTGAGGTCCTTGTGTACATAGATTGCTTGGTTTTTCCAGCAACTAGCAGTTCAGGTCCGATTTTTCGAGCTATAAGAAGTGGACCATTAAAAGATAAGCCACCTCCTGGTGAGCCACGGATCATGAGAAGCCTTCTGCAAGCCCTCCAGAAATCAGTTGAAATTGCTAGAGTTTGAACAAGTTTTGTATTTAAGATGTAATAACATACATGTGGACTCTCTTTTGTTCATACTGTTATTTCTAACATTATGTTTAGAATTTTAATTTCTAATGCTTGGTTAAGGCAATAAAATTTTTGTTCTCATAAATCTCATTTCTATCTGTCTATATATCTATCATTCGTGCTTGCCCTTTTATCCTTGTTGCTAGTTAGATATATGTGATCTCTATCATTGAATTTCAACAATAATGTAGATTGCTTAGAGTAAGTATTAATTTTAATTATTGGAAGCATATGTCGTTCTCAACTATGTAGGTTTATTTAGCTTCAGTGAAATTTGTACTTTTAGAACATTTTCAGAATGAAAAATATTTGTAGTGTGAGTTCTGACTTCTGAGTGCTCCAGAAGAGTGATGTGAAGTGTAGAATTAAGCAGGTAGTTGTAACTTTCAATCTTCACCAACTTAGCTTTAGAAATATTTGTGGTAACTCATCTTCTAGAAGAGAACTTTTTTTTTTTTTTTCCTTTTATCCCATGTCAACATCTTGATGCTTGTGATTGAATATTTACACTGCAGAAAATGAACTTGATAAAATCTAATACAGAACAGAACAACAAAAGAAACAGAAAGATAAGCAGGTGTTATGAATGTACAAAAAGAGTCTTTGAAAAGTTGATCAAACTTTTATTTCAAGTAATTAACCTAAATCAAGGTTCTATTATATGTGATTTTCTTTCAGCTGTTGAGAAGAATCTATCCACTCATTTTTTTATTTGTAAGTTTTTGAAGAAATCTACTATGCATTGATGAGGAGCATAAAACTAGGTAATTGTTTTGTAGTGATTTGTCTCAATATAAACCGATTCGATCCAAGACATTGGAATTGGAGTTAGCTGTATTCTTCATGATAAAGAACCATTTTCTAGCTACTCTTTGAGAAGGACGTGCATTAGAGAACAAAATAATATATTCTGTATCATCTGTGCTGACATTATATTCATTTGCATCTTTCCTGGAATCTGAAACTGAGATAGTCCTGAAATTTTATGAGATTTCAAACAATATGAAGAAACAAACTGATTTAGAACAAAGGTTGTGTGATGAAGAAGATAGTTATGATGCTGTTGTTGTGGGGTCTGGATATGGCGGTTCTGTTGCATCCTTTCGGATGTCAATGGCAGGGATAAAGGTATGCTTAATAGAGAAAGGCAGACAATGGGAAGCTCATGATTTTCCAACTGATAGTTTGAAGATCATGTCAGCCTTACGGGTGGAGAATCGGAACTTAGGTGTCAGCTTTGGCCCGAAAGATGCTTTGTTTCAGGTTATACTCTCTTTTTTTTTCTTGATTTTATGGTGTGAAACACTATTACATTCTCTTTGCAACTGACAGTTTGTTCTTGATTACAGCTCTATGAACAAGGTGATTCTCTGGCAGCAATAGCTTGTGGGCTTGGCGGAGGTTCACTAGTCAATGCTGGAGTGATGCTGCCAACTCCAGTTCGTGCTAGAAGGAATCCAAAGTGGCCAAAGGACTGGGAATGGGATTGGGATAGTTGTGAAGCTTCTGCTGCTACCATGCTTAGAGTACAAAGAGCTCCTGTGTTTACTGTGACCAAAGTCATGGGAGAAATAGCCGATGGACAGATTGAAGAAAGTTGTGAAGACTTGGTGAAACTAAGCATTAATTTTGATCTCGAAGACCCTCCACCCCATCTTATGAAGCTTCAACAGACAGGAAGCTGCTTAGCCTGTGGAAATTGTCTTGCTGGGTGCCCTTATAATGCCAAAAACTCTACCGACAAAAATTATATCCTTTCAGCAATCCAGGCATATTCTCTACAACTTCATATATGTTTGGACTTTGGCATTTATATATCCACATCTTTAATTACCCTGAATAATTTAAAAATCAGTAAATGTTAGTAATAATATGATATGGGATTGTCTACTGTTTTTTAGCAAATATCCAGCCTAACTAATACCATATGAAATGAGTTAGCCAAGAGCTGTTTCAATCAGAATTTTTTTGTGATGCAGGCGGGATGTATAGTTAAAACAGGATGTCAAGTTCAGTATGTGTTCAAAAACTCTCATGAAAGTTACCAGGAAGGCAAAACTAGCAGAAAAAGAAGAAGGTGGCTTGTTTATTTAAACGAGATTGACTATGTGGCCGCTGATTTTGTAATTCTATCAGGTAGGACACAGCAGTGATAAATATTGGTGATTTTGTCAAAATAATGTTTCAAAATTTTTAACAAGTTGGGAAAACATGATTTTCAGCTGGTGTGTTTGGCACGACTGAGATACTTTTTCAGTCACAAATGAGAGGATTAGAACTGTCAGACACTCTAGGTTCTGGATTCAGCTGTAATGGTAATACTGTTGCTTTTCTTGCTGGAAGCCCTGCTCCACTTACTGCTTATGGATTAGACAGAAAGCAAATCCTTGAAAGACCCTTTCAAAAGCGGCCTGGGCCAGCCATCTCTTCATCTCACACTTCTTCATTGGGTTTCACAATCCAGGTTTAACGTTTCACCACGCTCAAAAACTCAATTCACATCTATTTAGTTCTGCATGAAGTTCTAGTTTCATATCATGGCATGCTGTAGTAATCAGAATATGCTGTTTTAAGCAGGGGAGCTATAATATAATATGCTAATTCCTATTGTTCTTCATTGATTATTGGCATTGATTCTGGGATGATCGTGTGATAAAGATGGAAATTAGATGGCTAGACATTGAAGAAGTGGATTTTTTTTTTTTTTTTTTTCTTTTTTGTTTTTTTTTAACACTAGTGCTATTTTCTTATGCTGTAGAGTGCTGTACTTCCAACTGCTTATCCCTACCTCGTGTTCAAAGGGATAGTATCTTATGGATGGCCAACTGGTTACTGGTTTTTTCATGGGATTATAGATAAGTTGAAACATGTCATGGGTTTCCAAGCAAGCCAAGCAGTGGCGCTTAATGCAATGGGATATGATGAGAGTGATGGGAAAATCATTTTTGACAAGGTCACTAATAAAATTTGTTTCAGTCCACCCTGTGATCCTTTACTCCCACGAAAAGTTAAGGCCTTTCAAAAGCTTGCCAAGAAATTAGGGGGAATCCTATTCTTGTCAAGGTACCGAAGCACTTCGGTTCATCTTTTAGGTGGTTGCAATGCAGCTTCAGATCCTTCACACGGTGTCTGCAACTCCAATGGTCAGGTGTTTGACACAAAGGCGTTTACAACTGTGCATCCAGGCCTCTATGTTTGTGATGCTTCTTTAATTCCATGTTCTGTAGGCATAAATCCATCTCTTACGATTGCGACAGCAGCTGAGCATGTAAGTAAGTACCTTGTGAAGGATGTTCTGGAGTACAAGAGCAAAAGAGGCATAGACCTTGCAGTTAAAAATGTTGGCCAATATCCAATTTTGGCTGTTGGTAGAAAATCAAGGAGCACTGATAGATCAATTGTTGCAATCAAAGAGACCATGAAAGGGTACATTGGAGGTATGCCATGCATTGCTTATCTCAAAATGAAAATGAACTCCAATAATTCAGTTCATGAAGAATCTCATCCACTTTTAAGAGGAAAAGTTGGAGGTTATATTGTTTTTGAAGCCATTGAGAAGGATCATTTATATGTTATTGACGGAGAAGTAGATCTGTGCAAAGTAGATTACAGAACTCCTTACACACAGTACATGCATTACCGTCTTCTTCTCGCTTCCTCTTCTGGTTCAAGGTGCAATGCAATCTGAATTTGAATTCATTTCAACCTTACTTCNATTGGAGGTATGCCATGCATTGCTTATCTCAAAATGAAAATGAACTCCAATAATTCAGTTCATGAAGAATCTCATCCACTTTTAAGAGGAAAAGTTGGAGGTTATATTGTTTTTGAAGCCATTGAGAAGGATCATTTATATGTTATTGACGGAGAAGTAGATCTGTGCAAAGTAGATTACAGAACTCCTTACACACAGTACATGCATTACCGTCTTCTTCTCGCTTCCTCTTCTGGTTCAAGGTGCAATGCAATCTGAATTTGAATTCATTTCAACCTTACTTCTATCATAACTTCTAAAATCTGATATTGTGCAGATATGTTCTTGAGGGACAGAAGATAATGAACCCCTTTCTATTAGCACTGTATGCTTGGAGGGAGGCAACTACATTGCATGTGACATTTAAAAATATTTCAGGAAAAAGTTCGAGGCCAGAAACGATAAATATAACAGGAGAGCTTCGAATTTCCCTAATAGAGCTACTAAAGAGTCTCATGAGTCTTGAAGGAAACAGGAGGAGAAGGTTCATAGCCCTTTTTGTACAGGCTCTCCTGAGAACATATATATTACAAATACCAAGAGGGAACCACAAAGCCTGTATCCTTTTAGATTCTTACAATAAACCTTATCCAAACACCACTATTTATGAAATTGAAACAGGTATTCAGAAATCAAAATCCATTTTTTAAGATCCTGAAGAATGAAATTAACTTAGAATTTACTTGATCGATCTTAGAACAGTTTAAAATGAGTTGCTTGTTAAGAATAAATGAAAAGAAATAGAGTACTAATATTTATGAAATATATAAGGAAAGCAAATATAGAACACAGTTACTCTAATTGTTACTCTGGTTTTATGTACTTATGAGCAAGTTATCTATGTTTGGCTACTGTGGATAATGCAGAAGATGGATATATTATCAGTTGCAAGCAATGGACATGCAGTCAAACTTCATGTCAGCTTAAAATAGAGGAACAACAAAATCCTGTTCTCCTTCTTAATGGATATTCTACAGAAAGTTACTCACTCCCATCAGAACCAAACGATTTGGTGAGAACTTTACTGGAAGAAGGGCATGAGATATGGCTACTGCAATCAAGATTGCACCCTTTACATCCTGCAAACAACTTCACCATTGAAGATATTGCAAGATTTGATATTCCTGCTGGTATAAGAAGAGGCTAACGACAAATTTCAGATTTGGTTCTTAATATTGCTGATTAAATCATGATCTGAGTGAGAGTTTTCTTCTGTGGCTTTTGCAGCAATTGCTAAGATCCTTGAATTGCATGGGAAGAGCACAAAAGTTCATGTTGTGGCACACTGTGTTGGAGGCTTAGCTGTTCACATGGCCCTCTTGGGAGGATATGTCTCGTCAACCCACATAGCTTCTCTGTCTTGCACAAACTCTTCAATGTTCTTCAAGCTCAATGCATTGGCTACATTCAAAATGTGGCTTCCCCTGATCCCTGTAAGCTTTTCCATTAGTTTTATCCATCTAAGTTCAAAATTTGTCGATACTTTTCCCCACTACTATAAATCTTGTACTTTAACAATGTTCATTATTTCTTGGTCAAGACTTTTCCCCACGACCATAAATTTTGTACTTTAACAAAGTTCATTATTTCTTGATCAGGCTTGGACTTGAACCTTAGATTTTTGTTTAACACACTGCAGGTATCAATGGCCATATTAGGCGAGGACAAAACTTTGGCTCTATTGGAAACATCAAAAACCAGTTTTCGACACCAGCTCCTGAAATGCATAGCCTGTTTCATTCCACGGTATGAGAGATGCAGAGACAAAGAATGTGAGGTTTTTTCAGGCATATTTGGTAACACATTCTGGCATCGAAATGTAAGCCCTTCCATGCACCATTGGTTAAACAGGCAAAGCACAACAAGGGTTCCCATGGCAGCATTTTCCCACCTCAGAAAAATTTGCAACTCAGGATTTATAGTGAATAGCCATGGAAAAAACTCATATTTGATTCATCCAGAGAGAATGGCAGTCTCAACATTGTACATTTCCGGTGGAAGGAGTCTGCTTGTGACTCCAGAAACTTCATTTCTCGCTAACAAGTACATGAAGCTACACCAACCAAGTTTAAGACATGAAAGGATCGTTGTGGAGGGCTTTGGACATTCAGACTTATTGATTGGTGAGGAGTCTTATAAGAAGGTTTTTCCTCACATTTTGCGTCATATAAGATTGGCTGAACAAGGAGGAAATCCTGTCATAAGTTCAGGAAAAATATGCTGTGGGGAGGCTTTAGATTGGGAGGATGATCCCTATAGTAGATATGGTGGATTCGGAAGTTGGTTTTCTCCTTCTATTATTACTTTCCTCTTGTTGCTTTGGCTTGCCATTTTGATTTCAGTATTCATATAATTAAGTTTTGGTTAGAATTATGATTACTAGACATCCTTTTATATAATTAGTGAAATAATATTTACCTTTTTCAAACAAGTTTCTATTCTACTTCAAACGTCACAAGTTTATATTCAAATATCAGCATGACATCAGCAGAAAAAAAATAAGAATAAAAATAAAAAATCTAATAATTAATAGATTTCTAACATAAATCCACCCAAATTTAAAATCAAAAGAATACTAAAATAAATACAATGAATTAAAAATCAAAATCCAAAGGTTGCTCCACCCATACATGCAACTGAGTTGCTCCTCTGCTCAGATTTGTTCCACTGCTCAGTAGTGTCATCGATATATGCAACTGAATTGCTCCACTTCTCAGATTCTGAAATAAGATTGACCCAGGAACTGTTGCAACACGGGGTTTTAACAAAGTCAATGCAATGATATTACCAATGTTGGTTTTTAGAGTTGGAGTATACTAAGGAAAGAGGACCATAAACAGACGTGAGAGAGAGCTGTAGAGAGAGAAAATCTGAACTGAAATTTTCTCTGTTTTACATTCAAAAAACAGGGGTAGTTTTATACAAAACACACGCCACTGTTCCACCTAAAGCTGCAAATTTAAAATTTAAACTAAACACACCAACTAATGCACGTACAAACATATCAAAATACATCATTTTATCAACCTAATTCACCTAAACACATCACTGAAATATTTCTTAAACAGTGACAAAAAAACAACTTCTGCATGCACAGCAGCATTTCAAACCGTGGCGCCAAAATCTTGCAACTCCCACCGTGTGTTGACTTCATCATTTCCAGCAAGATATCATCATCTTCAACACTCCTTCTTGATATCATTGCTGGAAACACCAACTCTGAACTGAAGATATTCAAACTTGGCTTTGGACAATGGCTTAGTCATTATATCAGCAACCTGTTCTTCTCTATTAAAAAGAACTCCTCCTTCATTGCAGCTTCTCCATGCATCAGATTTGACTGCCTCATTGTAGCTTGTTGGTTCTAACTCAAACACATTGCACCTCTCATAAATTTCAGATATTGGCTTTGTACCTCTGACTGGAACTTCATCAACTTCATCTGAATTCACTTCTTCAATCTAACTTTTGGGCATTCTATCTTGCTGGAAGCTTGGTTTGACTTTAACCTGATTTTTTTTACAGTTCCAAACAGCACATTCGTCCACCTTAACATCTCTACTAACTATGTTAGCTGAATGGTTTTGAAAAACAACCTTTCCCTACTCTACCGGGAAGTTTTTTCTTTGCATCTGAACTCTCATTAACTCATTCCCATCACATTCTATAATGACACATGCTGAGTTTTTAAAATGAAGAGAGTAATTCCTCTCAAGCATTTGTCCTACACTAAGTAGGCTTTGATTGATTTTAGGAACAAATAAAACATCAGATGTAATCTTGGTACCTGACTTGGTTTGGACAGAAACATTTCCCTTGCCTTTGACCTCCAACAGCTCTCCATTTCCCACTTTAACTTTAGACTTGTAGCTTTGATTTAAGCTCACGAAATTGGACATGTTTGGTGACATATGGTTGGTGCAACCACTGTCAATTGACCACACCTCTTGATCAAAATCAGCCACACATCCTGAAGCCATAAACAACTGCTCAAATTCTTGAGTCTGCTATTGATTCTCTACTGCCTGGGATTGATGCTCCTGCTGCCCTCCTTTGTTTTTGCACATCCTTTCTACATGTCCAAACTGCTTACAAGACCTGCATTGTATGCCAGGCGTGAACTAACATCTATTTTCAGAGTGGTTCTTTTTCTTGCAGTTAGGACAAGGAGGAAAGGTTCTCAGTCCCGTATTTTTTTCTCCTTCGTTGTTAACTTCCTCATTTCCCTTCTCTCCAGCATACCTTCTGTTTTGGCTTGCTATCATGCTCTTTCACTTGAGTCTTCCTACCTCAACAACCTCCTCTGCTCTTGTGCTTGAAGAGCATACACAAGTTCTACTAAGCTGATCTGGGACAGGTCTTTGGAGTCTTCAAGTGAAGAGATTTTTGCCTCAAATCTCTTAGGTAAACTGACCAAAACCTTCTCTACTATCCTCTTGTCAGTCAATTCTTCACCAAGTAGCTTAATCTTGTTCACCACATTCATCAGCCTATCCACATACTTCTTGACAGACTCAACCTCTTGCATCTTAAGCATCTCAAATTCTCTTCGCAGGTTTAGAATTTGCATGTTGTGTGTCATATTGCTGCTCCCAAACTGCTCCTTAAGCTTATCCCAAGCCTCTTTAGGAGTTTCACACGCCATAATCCTGGTGAAGACTTGGTCTGTCACTGTTGAGTGTATGTAAGGTAGGGCCCTTGGTGCTTTAGACATCTCCTCTTCATGAATCCTGATTTGGTTTAGTGTGGGGTTTGCTCCCAACTGAGGAACTTGCTTCTCCTCCTCCACGTATTGCCACAACCCATGGCCTTTTAAATAAGTCTTCATCTTGACAGCTCATACATTGAACTGATCTCCATTGAAGATGGGTGAAGAAAGTGAAGCTGGAGCTGAAGCCATGAAGTAGATTATGTATGGAGTTTTGTTAAGAGGTTTTTGTTTTTCCAGGTCCTGAAAGATCACAACAGCTCTGATACAAATGATTGGTTTTTAGAGCTGGAGTATACTAAGGAAAGAGGACCATAAACAGACGTGAGAGAGAGCTATAGAGAGAGAAAATCTGAATTGAAATTTGCTCTGTTTTACATTCAAAAAACAAGGGTAGTTTTATACAAAACACACGCCACTGTTCCACCTAAAGCTGCAAATTTAAAATTTAAACTAAACGCACCAACTAATGCACGTACAAACATATCAAAATACATCATTTTATCAACCTAATTCACCTAAACACATCACTGAAATATTTCTTAAACAGTGACCAAAAAACAACTTCTGCATGCACAACAACATTTCAAACTGTGGCGCCAAAATCTTGCAACTCCCACCGTGTGTTGACTTCATCATTTCCAGCAAGATATTATCATCTTCAACAACCAAAAAAATCAAGTATTTGGAAGAGAACTACCTGTTGTGTGGCAATACAGCTTGACCTCGGAAAAAGCACATCGATCTCAGCTCGGGTACCGCGCTTAATGAATCGAGCAAAAAACACCCATCTAGGACACATGCCAACTTGAGATGGACAAGCCAGGTGACGACTGGGCCACGCTTAGCGTGACACCTCACAAGACCACCAAGCTGCATGAACTCCATGTGCAATACATGCAGCTGCTTCGCCTAAACCAGCGATGATTTTCCAACAAGCTCTGGTTAGTTAAAGCTGTAATCGGGATTAAGTGTAATAGTGTGCTGACGCCCTTGATCGCCTAAAATGTGTCAGGGGAGACAACCATCATTTCGCGCAAACTTCCACTAACCATAGCCATCGCGACTCCTATAAATACCCATTGACAATCTCGAAAAAGAGGAGAAAAAAGGGGAGGGGTCAGAGAGAGATATATAGCTAAATTTCTGCAAACTCTGTGTAGGAAATCTCTGCAATCATTCGCCTTGAAAAAAGAATAGTGGACGTAGGTCTGATTTCATTGCTCAACCGAACCACTTAAAAAAGCTTGCTTCTCTGTTTTTACTATTCACGTAACCCTTTTACGGCTTCACTCTCATTCCAATCACTTGCGCCCCTTTTTGCTGATTCCTAGGAATTATGCACCCATATTACAGGTTCTCCTCAGAGTCAACTGAGTACCACTAGTTGACGTGTGTCTTTGTCTTGATGTGTTAGTCGGTGCAGAAATTTGCATCAACATCTTGGCACTAGAAGGAGGGCTTGACTTGAACACTCTAATTGACCTGCTTTAATCATGCTTCAAGATGATTACCACCAAGTTAGCCGCAACATTCCATTGGAAATGGCGCGATGAACGAGAGTCACTAGGAGTCAAATCAGCGCAAACCATGTTGACACCCCCATAGCGGATGGTCTTAGAAACATCCGAGAGGCTGCCAAAACATTTCGTTAGTCATTCCTCTCCCCTTTGGGAAAACCACCAAAACACAAATACTTCTAGTCTTGAAAATTCCCTGGGCACAGAAATGTTCCGATCAATCACCCACGTGATTAGTAATCTCTGGCGAGAAGTAACCAATATGAGGGGGGGACAGATCACAGACAACCCTCCGAACTCGCGAGGCCTTGTTTTGCCAACGCCCAGTTGGGAACACAGGACCACCGAAGATAATTCTGACATGGTATGAGGGTTGCGACATAATCAGCCCCCAGATAAGATCACCAGATTCGGGATACCCAGGGCAACGCTCAGGAAAACAACTAATGGTGGAAGAGATAAACCACCGAGAGCCCATCCACTCCTGGCAAAGGAACGACCAAGCTCCTCATGATGACAGTCACACGAGCATGTTCCCAATGGATATGTTCCAACCATGTCCCACGACGACATGACGTTCAAAATTCATGTGCTAACACCGACCCCTATTGCAACGAATATCAGGAATCGACCTCCGATAGCTCGTACTATTTGAGCGAACATGATTCCTCCTTGTGTGTGAGTGCACCCCATGGAGAAAAACAACAGAACCATGAGCCAGATCTTCACAGGCATTTGAATTCTCAAAAGCCCGACTTTCATCATTTGTTTAGCCAGAATAGGGTAAATGCCTTTCCTTTAGGCAACCCCCAGCTGGTGTGCAGTTGGAAAAAATACAAAGGATGCTTGACGATTTGCGTATTCGACAAATCGAGCATGCGATGATAGCCCCCGGTTCCCCGTTTCTAGAGGAGCTTGTCTCTCGCGCCTTTACTAGTAGGGTTCAAGACCCTATATATCAAGTTTAGCAAGGAGAATTGTAACACCCACAGCAAGGTACATAATTTTATTTATGCCCTAATACCCTTAGTTGGATTTCTTTGAAGTTACCTTAAACAAATGTGAAGAAAATTCCTTAAAACTTCATTAGGGGTAAAATGGTCTTTTCACTCCTAATTAGATGAA